TGTGTGTGTGTGTGTGTGTGTGTGTGTGTGTGTGTGTGAGAGAGAGAGAGAGAGAGAGAGAGAGAGAGAGAGAGAGAGAGAGAGAGAGAGAACCACAGTACATGAGTGGAGGCCAGAGGACAGCTTGTGGGAGTCAGTTTTCTCCTTCCACTGTGTGGGGCCTGGCGGCTGAACTCAGGGCATCACGCTTGGCAGCCAGTGGCTTTACCTGCCGAGTCACCTTGCCCGCTCCCTCATTTTATTTTTTGAATCAAATGAGCCTGCAACCTTAAGAAAAATCTTGGTAGCTTTGAGGAGCATGTATAACGTCTTCAGAACTCTACACCGTTGGGAAACTATGGTGCCTTTGGCACAATGGATTGTAGAAATATGGTCAAATAGCAAGGAAGCGGAGTGAGTCTGCCTGAATGTCCGCCAGCAGATGACTGGATCATGAAGTGTGGCACATACATGCACACAATGGAGTTTCATTCAGCCACGAAGAAAATTGAAATATGCAAAAAGAGGGTGGAAATAGAAAATATTATAAATAAGACAACGTAGGACAAATCCACATGTTCTTTCTCATACGTGGATCCTCGCTTTTAAATTGTATTTGCCCTTATTTATGTGGGAGTGAGTGTGTGTAGAGGCCAGAAACCTGGGAACAGGCCCATGACAATGGAAAAACAGGCTACGAGGGAAGGCGTGTAAAGGGCAATAGAATAAACATGACATCTCAGTGGAGTGGAACTATGGGAAGGAAAAGGTGATGGAGAGGCAGAGGGATGAAGGAGGATTGGGAGGATCCGTAGAAACTATGTGATGAATGCCATAAAGACACCTGTTACCTTGATGCTGAGTAAAAAAATAACATTTTCAGAAAGTATATTGACATTTAAAATATACATAGTTGATAAACTAAAATTATGAATCTGCTCTTTTTTCCCCCACAGTGAAACCATCACCACTATTATGCACTGAAGACAGTTCCGTTACACTGGGACGTTTTTGTGGGATGTTGAGTCCCTCCACGTTTCTCTTACTTTTTATATTTTCAAAAGGAGAAACACTAGCTTCTTCATTTTATCTAGTTAAATAATAATGAAGGAAAATGAACCAATGGAAGGGAGTCGGGAAAGGAGAGTGAGAGGGAAGGGGGTGGAAGAGACACCGGACATAAGCACCCCACACTTATTTTTCATGATTGGTGCTGTTGTATAGTAAGAGACCACATTCCATCTTGAAGTCTCCCTCCCACCTCTGAAACAAGTAAACGGAACTTTATTTCACTGTTTATGTTGACGTCAAGTTTGTTTTTAACTTAATTTGTACGAGCCCTGGGTTGCACCTCTGGTACGGAGAGCTGAGGTAGACTGGAAGCGAAGGGTAACTGGGGACATGTGTGGGGTGAGCCCCTCCCTCTCTTAGCTCTGTAATCCCATTCAGGCAGTCCCTCCCCCTTTAGTGAGCTACAAATGAGCAATATGGTTCTGGGAAGTTTTAGCCTGTGTGAGACACAGCTTTGCTTCAGGAGTGTGCAGTGATTATAAAGCAGTCTAAAAGGTACAATTAGAAATGATGGAAGTGCATTTCTCTTTTCTGGCAAGACCAGGCAAGTTGCAGAGGAAATCTCTATAATCTATTCAACTTCGCATTTTACCCAGGCATCAAAATCTACACCTTGCGGGCACTGGCACCTCAGGATCTGTGCTTTCCCTCTTGTGTCGGAGCTCATCCTGACAGTTGCAAGGCAGTCTGGGCTCTCGCCTGCAGCAGACATAGGTACACAAAATGCCTTTGGTATTCAGGGCATGCAGCCCACAGCGGTCTCTTCAGGCATTGTAGGAGTTGTCTCTTACTGTAAGTAGAAGGACCCCAGTGAACCCATGTGGCCAAATTCTCCCACCCTTCCTGGTTCTACTGTTCCCATTAAAATCACTGTTATGGAAAGAATAGGAACCACAAGTCCAAGGTCACATGGATTCTCAGAGGAGGTTAGAATAAAATGTGATCAAAGGACTCATTATAGAACCTCTTAACATTTGATCATACGATTTGTTTCTCTCTGTACTCATGGGAGAAACATTCAACTAACTAAAAATACAGTATGAGAAAATATGTTCAATAAATTAATTGCAGCTATGTTTTAATCAGATGGTTGGAGAAGTGGTCACAGAGCTAAGTTTCTCTCATTTCTTTTTCCTGCCAACAAAATGGGACAAGTCATTTGACTTTAAGGAACTAGGCCTTGGGTGTTCCTCAAAGCATCCAAGAGACTTCCTTCAGGAATTCAGGATGTCAAGTGTGGAAGGATGGACACTGGCCAGAGAGTTCTGCATCGGGTGTGTGGCTTCTGTTCTCACTCTTCACATGCATGCCTGGAGTCCCCGAGGAGTCTTCAGTTGCTTTTAGCATTTGCAAACTCTATGGTCGCATTCCCATGAGTTCAGCAATAGCAGATGTCCAAAATGCCTCCTGATGCACTACATAGTACGTGGATTTTTCTATCTTAAAATGGCTAGGAGCAAGATTTGAGCATAGAATGAACAGAAGATATAACAGTCTTTATTAGCTTTAGATCAGCTATTTTCCCTAACGTCTGAAATCGATTCTTGATTGTCTTCCCTGCCCCCAGCCCAGTGCATTATTTGTTTTCAGAGCCCCAGAGATCAGTGCTTTCAATGCCTGCCACCGTCTCATCTGCATTTTCACAAGTGTTTTCTGTGGTCATGTGAGTCACTTCTTCCTCACCTCCCACAAATAGCGTGGGTTCAATAGAGCTGTGGGGATTGTGTTTTTAAAGAATCGTTTTGACTTCACAATCTAAAAAGGCATCATTTATATTGAACACACACAGACACACACAGACACACAGACACACACACACACACACACACACACACACACACACACACACACACACTCACCACCACCATACGAACAACCTACCAATGCATCGGAGGTGGAAGGTTCCGTGAGGTCGGGCGGCAGTGATTTGTGTTTTGTTGTGGTGCGGTTGCCCCGCCGCCCAGGTCTTTTGCTGTTTGGTAGGCAGGTTAAATCACAGAGTGAATTGAGAGTCTGACCTCATTGCATCCTACATGCTGAATCACCATGCTCCAACTGTCAGCAGAAGCTCGGGCTGGAGTCTGCTCTCCTGGAAACAAGACCGCGCGCAGGCTTGTGTGACCTGCTTACTGCTGTTTCTCGTTAATTTTAACATGAAAATGATCAACAAAACGCTATCTTCTCTTTCTCTTCCCTTTTTCTATTTGTCAAGCAAATGCTTTTAAAATCCTGCCAGCGTCTTTCATTTTAAGGCTGTGGTCGGAGGACTAGCCTCACATCCTCAGTGTCGTGACTGGCCTCTAGCGGCTGCGATGAGTTACATCAAGTTGCAAATGCAATTCTCTTTTTGTTTCTCTCCAGAGTAAATCTAGTCTCAAATAAAAACCCAATTGCCGGGCGGTGGTGGCGCACGCCTTTAATCCCAGCACTCGGGAGGCAGAGGCAGGCGAATCTCTGTGAGTTCGAGGCCAGCCTGGGCTACCAAGTGAGTCCCAGGAAAGGCGCAAAGCTACACAGAGAAACCCTGTCTTGAAAAACCAAAAAAAAAAAAAAAACCCAATTGCCTGAGAGTCATCCTAGAAAAATGTGATGCTTCGGTGTTTGCAAAGAACAAGAGATGGGTGATAGATTTTAATCTCTATTTTGATTCATTTTGTCTTGATTTGAAACCCCTAGATCTCGGAAGAGTTA